CTTCTGCAGGTTCAGCAGGTTCAGGCTCCGTCTCTTCTTCTCCATCAGACTCTTCTTCAACTTCTCCATCGTCTCCCCAGGCGAGAGTGTTCTGTTCTGCTGTTTTCAAGTTCCACTCCCACTTGGCATCTTCGTCAAATATGACATCCTGACTTATGATGATCTTTTTTGTGACTGGATCAAGCAATCGATATGCTTTTGATTCGTCACTTACTCCGAGCAGAATACACTTGTGGCTGCGATCATCCAGTTTAATTCTCTTCTGCTCTGGAATGTGAACGTGAGCAACAGATCCAAAGATCCTGAAATAGTCAACTTTTGGTTTGATTCCAGTCCATCTCTCTTCAGGAACCATATCCTTTACTGATTTGGTGAAGCTTCGATTCAGAACGTGAGCAGTCCATCTTGCTGCGTCTAGCCATAGAGTTCTTGGCATCTCCTTCTCAGAAAGTAGACAACGAACCATATTCATGATTGTGCGGTTTCTCCTCTCTACTACTCCGTTTTGTTGTGGAGTATATGCTGCGGTGAGCTGACGTCTTATGCCATGATCTCTGCAGAAGGTGTTGAACTTGTCTGACGTGAATTCACCTCCTCTATCCGTACGGAAACCCCGGATAACAGTCTTGGCCTCCTTCTCAACAGAACTTTTGAAGACTTTGAAGGTTTCAAAAGTTTCTGCCTTGTCTACAAGAAAATATATCCACGTTTTCCGAGAGTAGTCGTCGACAAGTACGAAAAGGTACCTTTTCCCACTTTGAGAGATTGGAGTAATTGGACCACACAGATCGGCATGAATGAGCTCCAGTTTCTCACTTGCTCTCCATTTGCTTTTTTTTGGGAACTTCCCTCGTTGCTGCTTTCCCACATTGCAAACTGTGCAAACTTTGATCTCTTCTTTCATGTTTGGTAAACCTTTCACCATTTCCTTCTTTTGCATCAGCTGAATGGAATTGTTGTTGAGATGTCCAAACCGTTTATGCTAAAGAGCCCCCAAATCTACTTCTTCTGCCTTGAGACAGTTCTGGGATCGTGGTTTCTTCAAGGCATAAACCAAGAACATGCGATTGATTGTCATCTGAGTTTGCAGAATCATGCCACGTTGAGGATGAAAGCCTTTGCACACGCCATTTTTGATTAGAATCGTCAGTTGCTTCTCCTGGAGTTGTCCAATACTTAACAAATTGTTTGTCAAGTTTGGAACGTAGTACACATCGCTCACCACTTGTAATATTCCCTCCACTTCAAGTCTGATTTTTCCCTTTCCTTGAACAGCCAATCTTGAGCCGTTTCCCAATCTCACAGAATGCTTGAAGCTTTCGTCGAGCTCGACGAACCATGATTTGTCGCCAGTCATGTGATTGGAACATCCAGAATCAAGAAACCAGATGCCTTTTCCCTCGGTACTACTCAGATCTGTATGCGCCATTAGGAGTAACTCTTCCTCCTCATCAAACTCCGCATAGTTGACTCCCTTGTCCAGACTAGTGCATTCGAATTGATAGTGGCCCTGTTTTCCACATCGGAAGCAGTTGATGGCTGATCTGTTAACAAAAGATCTGCCTCTCCCTCGTCCTCTATAACTGCTTCCTCCTCGGGTCCACCTTCCTCTACCTCGAGCATTCCTTGGCTCGTTTTCCACTTGAAGCACTTGCTCTTCACTTCTCTTCTCAATCACCTTCTGTTCATGGATTTGTAATGAAGCTTGTAGCTCATCCACCGTGAGGTAGTCAATATCCTTTGACTCTTCGATAGAACAGACAACATAGTTAAAGTTGTCTGTGAGACTTCTCAAAATCTTCTCAACGATCTTGACATCATCTATGCTCTCTCCACAGTTTCTCATGTCATTGGTTGTCGCCATGACTCTTGCAAAGTATCCAGCTACTCCTTCTCCAGCCTTTATCTCCAAGGTTTCAAAGGTTCTCCGTAGCCTTTGCAGCTGTGCACGCTTCACTCTAGCGTTTCCTTGGTGCTTGATTTTCATGGATTCCCAGAGTTGTTTGGCTGTCTCCTTCTGAGTGATAGTCTTCAAGGTCGTCTTATCTATTGATTGAAACAGATAATTTTTAGTCGTAAGATCTTTGAGTCTGGCTTCATCAAGCGCCTTTTGTTATGCCGGATTAGGGGTTTCAATTCTTCTCAGATCATCGAATCCTGGATCAATGATGCACCAGTACTCCTTTGAGCGCAGAAGATTCTCCATGACCAAGCTCCAATGGTCGTAGTCTCCATCAAATTTCGGAACAGCAGGTGTGGTGAAGTTTCCAGCGTCTGTCATTCTCTCTCAAGTGTTTTTCCTCTCAAACACTCACAAAGTATTGCTCTGATACCAGATAAAGGAAACAGAACTGCAATATTACTCTCAATGTATACTCAATAGGCTGATTGTTTCTGTGTTATTCAATCAAAGCAAAGCTATGGCTTATAAAGAAGCCTTACAACGTTCAGCACCGAAAAACTGGGAACCAAAGACGGAAACAAACTCTAACGTAATTAAACATAATCAGCTCCTAAAATCAAGCTTGACTTATTCGAGACTTGACTTATTCAAAACCCAACAATCCCGACTGATCTGGTTATCGAGATATTCTTGAGACTGCCTTCAAAGTCAATTGCTAGGTTTCGTAGCCTCTCGAAGCTATGGGCGTGGGAACTTCGCCGTCCATATTTCACCGAGTTGTTCCTGACCAGGTCACGAGCTCGTCCACGTCTCCTACTAGCGGTCGAACAATCCGATGTGTGGAGCTTGTACTCGTTGCCTCAGCCTCATAATCCATATGTGAAGTCTTCTCTTGTAGCTATGGCCGATTTTCATATCAAGTTCCCTGGAAAGATGCGTGAACACACTTGTCGCTATGCCTCTGGTTTGATAGATATTTGCCCTTCTAGATGGATCTCATCAACAGGGTCATTGGGTGTGATATGTAACCCTATCACAGGACAGTCTGCGAATTTACTTGAACTGAGAACGGACCTCGTGTTGAGAAGACTTTTAGGGTTTGATCCGATTGACAAGCAATACAAAGTATTGGCCATATCTCATCCATATCGTGGTGGAAGGAAGGATATTAGAATTCTGACATTAGGAACTGGAGATATGAAGTGGAAGAAGATACAATGTCCCTTCACCTATGAATTGCTTTTCAATGAAGCGATATGCATCAATGGGGTTTTGTATTACTCAGTTTACAGCTACTTTAGTGCTGCGATAGTTTGCTTTTATGTTAAGTCTGAGAATTTTTTTAAGGTTATTAACAGAAAATCGTTTGATTCTGGGACTAGCAAGTTGATAAACTATAAGGGTAAATTAGGTGGGTTTGATTGCAAGCATGATGACGATGGCCGTGTCCTTGAGTTGCGTCTTTGTGTTCTAGAGGATGTTCAGAAACAGGATTGGTCGGAACATGTCTACACTTTGCCTGAGACGAATGCTAAAGTCGCTAATCTCTCCGATTTATACGTTGCTGGAGTGACTGGTACAGGTGATATTGTTTTGTCGATGGAATTTACTTGTACATCCGAACCGTTTTATGTTTTCTACTTCAGTCCAGAAAGGAACACTCTCCAAACTGTCCAAATCCAAGGTTTTGGAGCTAACCTTGAACCGCTTGAGAATCGTAGTACAGTTTGCGCCTTTGTAGACCATGTAGAGGATCTTAATGTTAACGATGCAACCCTACTCCAGTCAAGCATCTCTGCCTCATCTATAAAGAACAAACCAAAACCACAACATCAGGAAGAGGTAATAGAAAGGGACACAAGGGAAGATGAAGACCGTAGAAGAAGAAGAAGACGCCAGTGAGAGAAGGGATAATGTCATTTGTTCTCTCTCTATATCTATACGTTTTGTGTTCTTTAGTTATAGACGTTGGGAATCAAATCTAGCTTCGGTAATGTAATGATTACATACAAAACTTTTCAGAGATCTATGTACCTTTATTTTATTTTTTACTCTATTTAATTATTTTTTACATTCAAATGGTTTCCTCCACCATTCTCTGTTCTTTAATTATTATTTTTTTCTTTGTGTAATTTCATCTCTCTTCAGATCTAGATCAATACAAAACAGTTTATATGAATACATATTGATGCTGTTTAATTAAGAAAAAGAAAAAAAAAATGTATATCATCGAGAAGATCGATGTCATACATCTCGTAACCTCTACAACTCTGCTCCACCTAGTAAGAGGTTACTTGGTGGCTCTTGCATCGTAAGTCGGAGAGATAACCAGAAAAATGCATTGTGCCAGTCTCTTAATTACTTGAACAAGCCTTTCTTTCAAACTCTTCTTGCTTTGGTGATGTCTAATGTCTTGAATGCTTTTGTGTTATACCAGCCTTTGATCGATACAACTGGTCGATATGGATCCTCGGCTCTTGGTTTGTTTTCTTGATCTCCTGAAGGAAGCTTACATCAGCGGCTTTGTTCTGATATTTGGAGGCGAATGCGAGCTTGTCTGGTCGAATGACAAGAATGCATTAGCAGTGTTCAACGATCTAGAACAGTTCGAGCAGCCACTACCATGAGAAGGCTTCATCACGGTTCTTTGTACCAAGAAGCTGTCGTCGCTTGTACAGAACCCGGGACAGTCTTTGTCACTCGGTAACGCATTAGGGGTACTAGATGGTTCGGTTATGGAAGTTCAGAGAGGGAATCCATAGAATAAGGCTGTGGTTAAAGAATCTGATGCTTCTTGAACAAGAAACAAATGAATCAGAAATTTAGGTTTGAGCTTTCAAAAAAACCAACCAACAACAGTGTTTTGATTCTCAGATACTTATTGAGATTAAGTGCAACACGTTGTGCATATATGCTTTGCTTTTCGTTGGCCGCTCAAGCATTTTTATTACTTTTCCCCTCCAATTGAAGAAAAGTCATGACTTTGCCTAAATTATCAATTTCTTTTTCCTCACTCTTCAAAGTCTGTATAAAGAGCTCATTTCAGAAATATGGTATTGTGGCTTTTTAATAGAAATAAAAAGAAACAAAAGTGAGAATGTCTTCACAAAAGAGTAACAAGAGTTCGCACCATGAGGCTGACTCCAAAATGGAGCAAGATGTGAGTTTCGTTTCTTTGCTCGTGGAGATTTTTTCACTTGATATTGTCTACGTGGCTAAATATAATTTGCAATATTTTTCTTTCATAAGAAATAACAAAACTAATTTTCAAAAAAAAAAAAAAAAGAAATAACAAAACTCTGGTTAAAATTTAAAAATATCGCTTTCTTGTTAAACTGATGAGCAGGCCAATAGAAAAGCATGGATTTTTCAACCGAGTGGTCTTAATTTCGTTTGGGGAGGTGACTCAAGATATTGGGTTATCCCTAAAGAACCAAGGTACCTCCCGGTTCATAACGGGTAAACCGATAAACTAACTTCGTATGGTTACTAATACCAAAATTCTTAACCGATTCAATTGACTGTTGGTTTTTAACTTTTAAGGATGCCTGCTGAGCTGAAGATGGTGAGTTGGTTAGAAGTGACCGGTTCGTTCGAGAAGATTGAACCCGGGAAAACATACCAAATCGGTTTCAAAATCTCGTTTAAACCGGACGCAGCCGGTTGGGACAAAGCCCCAGTTTTCATGTCTGCTAAAATCGGAAAGAAAGGCAAGCCAGTTTGGAAAAGAATCAAATCCGTTAATCAGAACTTTGGTAAACCGAAAAGCGGATCAGAAAAACCGGTCACAATACCTGACGAATCTGATGGCTCGTTCCAAATCTCGGTTAGCCACGAACCGCTTAACCAAGAAGACACCAAGCTTCAGTTCGGTCTGTATGAAGTGTGGACGGGACGATGGAAGACCGGTCTCTTGATCCATGAAGCCTTTGTTCAAGAAGTGTAAGAGACGAATATGATCATTGTCGATTTTCATAGTTTGAATAAACTCAAATTACGAATTAAGAACTAAACAAACGAGCTTTAGATCATAATAGTAAACTGAAAGAGAATGTATAGTACCTTTCTTGTAACAAGTTCTTAAAGTTCTGTGTGATAATCTTCCGGTTTAAACCACAGCGAGAAATCGATTCCTTTCGTCTTCAAATCCTCAGTAGCCGGTGCGATTCTCTCCAGAAGCTACATGGACAGAGGACAGCTAAACCAATATTTAGAGAACAACTCTCTAATCACAACAGATTATTAAAAGCATATTACAAAAAAGCATTAACAGTTTCACGGAACCTTGGAATGAAGAACGCCGTTAGACACCAAAACAGACCTATCGAAAACGGAAAACTTTCCTCCGTCCATTCGAGTCACAGCTCCTCCAGCTTCCTCAACTATCTAGTGTCCAAATTTTCAGACATGAACTAAGCTCAAAAACATATGTAGTTTCGTAAGAAGAAACAAAAATCAAAAAGGATAAATAAAGAATTACAAGAACACCAGCAGCCATGTCCCATGGCTTTAAACGATACTCCCAATACGATTCAGCGATCCCAAGCGCCACGTGACACATGTCAACCGCTGCAGCACCGAGCCTTCTCACTCCCCGACTCACATCAGTGAACTCTTTGAACAGCTCCATGTTCGTACTCCACGCATCATCATGTTCATACCCGAACCCTGTGATAAGAAGTGCTCTCTCCACCTACACTCACAAACACCGAACAGATGAGTACGAATACCAAAAACCGCTGAAATTAGACTGGAATGATTCCAGATAAGTTACTTACAGCATCGGTGTTACTGACATGAATCTTTTGACCGTTACACAAAGCTCCACCACCTAAGAAGTGAACTAGTTTATTAGAAAAATCTTAAATACAGAACCAAAGAAGAGTGAACACAAGCTTGCTATATTGTACCTGCAGTAGCAGAAAAGGTTCGAGTGTTCCAGCACATTGGACCACCAACAAACTCTACCTGCATCATGAAACTTTGTTTCTTTCTTATCCTAATTAACAAAGAATCAACTACTAGAGAACTGTATTAAGTAATATATTGGATCTACCACAGAAGCAGCGGCGGGATTTCCTCGATACAGAACACCAACAGAGACAGCAAAACTGGGATATCCATGAGCAAAATTGGTTGTTCCATCTATGCATAAAAGGAAGAGATTGTTACTTGCTAATCTTAAGCGACACACACACAAGAAGAGAAAGCAATGGGATGTGTGAAGAAGAGCGAAACCTAGAGGATCGATGCACCAGAGGTAATCAGAAGACGTATCGCCGATGATACCTCCTTCCTCACCAAGAATAAGATGATCACTGTAATTCTTTTTCACTACTTCCAAAATAGCAGCCTCGCTTGCTTTATCAGTACTGCGAAATTCAGCAGATAACCAACACTTTAATGCTTCAAGCAATCAAATCATGAACAATAGATAAAAGCTGAAGATTCTTATGTTAAGTCCTTACTCTGTTACCAAATCACTGAGGCCTTTGTAAGTTATATTCCTTGGCTTATTTACAGCTTCCATTACGACCTGCCAAACAAAAATCAGTGAAATCTATCACTTCAAGTTTGGCTTTTTTCATTATACTACTTCTACTCTATGAGCCCAAGAACTCGATCACACATCGAACACAGTTTCGAGAATCATCAAAGGTTTTTCCTTTTCGAATCAATCCTCAGCTAAAGAAGAATTCGGATTGCTGTAATTGTAAAGACATGAAATTCGAACCTCTGCGCCGGTTTTAGCGGCGGATTCCACAACTTTGAGGAGCTCTGACGGCGATATAGTTCCGGTGGTTTTAGCGCCGATTCGGGGATAATGCGTCTGATCGGAAACTTCAGACATGACAGCTTTTGTACGGAGTCTCGTCGTCGACTTGAAGCTGTTAGACAAATTCATCGAACACCCATGTCGGCGATTTCTGGTTACTGTCCGGCATGAAAATGGGTTTGTCACCGGGAGAGATGATATTCTCATTGACATGTTTCCCGAGAAAATCAGAGAGCTCCCCATCTTTTCCTCCTCAGTTCGCCGGAGAATCTACTCAATTACCCGAAATCGAGTTTTTCTTTTTTGTAGATTTTGTTTTTTAGCAATACATGGCTGAGTGAGTGGACGGACGAGAAAAAAAAAATACCATTTTTATTCAATGTTATCTGAAAAAAAATTACAAAGGTGGAATTTTTCGTAGTGTAAATTTCAAAATTACATGAAAAAAACTAGAGAACTAAAAGAAACAAAGGTATCTGGAGGTAAACCATAAATCATCCGATAAATATAGTGAAGGATACAGTTAAGTGCCTTTGTTCATCTTCTTCTAACAACGGAGAACAAAATGTTAAATGTGTTACAGTAACTTATAAACCTTGAGATCGTTGATTGATCGCAGCAGAAGCAGAAGCTCTTCTGTTTGATTCTAACATCTTACACAAAACAGAAGCAGTCTCGGTTTTGGTTCTAAGAAGAGCTGATAAAAAAAATTGAAGGTAACTTACCAAAGGAAATGATTCTAATCATACAATTAAAATCCATCAGAAGCAGCATTCCAATCACAGAACTGACCACTGTTTAGTCCTTATCCTAACCATTGCAGATGAAATTGGTGCAATGCCCTCACAATGGATTCTTGAATTTCAACCCAATTCAGTACACCAACCATCTCAAGAATCACTGCAGATGAACTCAATTCAACCTTTGATCCTTCAAATTATTCTTCACGTTCCATCATTTGGATGTGGCACAAGAGCTTCTCTCTCAAGAGATACAACAAAACTGAAGAACGATATTTTCATCATCGAATAATTAAATTCCCAGAGATATACATCCTTATTTCCATGATCTCCTCTACAATCCTCTTTTTTTTTCTTACAGATCACGAAAGAATCAGAATTCAAAATCCTTAAACCCTAATTCCCAAATACGAAGCTCACCAGATCCAAGAAGCTTTCAAGGACGGCAACAAGAGCAACAACAACGCCCAATTTCTTCAATCCTTCGAGCGTTCGTTAGCTAACGCTTCTCAAAATTTCGCTGATGGCGAGAAAGACAGAGAGAAAGCGAGAACTGAGCCTCCTCGCACTGTTTGCGTTTCAGGCTAGTTCCGCCGCTAGAGCAAAACGACCTCACCGCCTCCGATTCCTCCGGACAAACCTCCGCCACAACGCACTCCGCCAACGCCTTGTTCAGATGTCTGCAACCGGAATTTCTTGCCGGTCCTTCCGGCATCCGACGGTGGCACTGCAACAACGCTTCCTGCAGCCGATCGCAAGATCTCATCGGAATCCCTTGTTTTTTTTCCCGGCGAATCCGTCTGGTCTCTCTCACAAGGCTTGCTTCTTTGATGTTTATTATTTAGTTGGGTTTGGGCTTTTGTGTTATTAGCCCATATTCATTCACGATAGCTCTTGAACCAAGTCTTGATTGACTATTTTCTTTCATTCACACACCAAAATCCAAAAGTACATTTTTTTTCCTTTCTAAAATACCCCATTTTGTGTTCAATAACGTACCTACTGTTTTCAGTTTTCACACATGTTTGTTGACCCCTAAATATAGAAATTTGTATTTCAAATGATATTTGATACAATATTCTAAATGTACATACTATTTTCTTCTAATCCGTGGGGTGAAAGAAAAACTTGCATGCTCACATAAACACGAAGTTTTGTATATCTTTGCTATAAGAGCTTAGTTTCAGTACAAAGCTAAAGCTACATGAGTTTCAATGGGCAGTGGTAGACTATTTTTCAAAAATTCTTCAGTAATAATATTGGGATGATTGAGAAGTAAAGATTTTGAAGGTTAATCTAATGTATTTATTCTCTCTTAATTAAAGAATTTATCTTCCATGGTTGATACTACGTTACGTATGCAACTAACTTTACAATACAATGTTACCTTCATTCGAAAAAGTACTGACATCTAATGATCTAAAATCATCCCAACAAATATATCATTATTGTTATTATTCTTAATTCTTATTTATAAAGTCAATTACATGCGGATGTGGTGGTTATACGACTTAATGAAGATAGAAAGGAGAAAAGGTTTGTGACTTTTTAGTCTTTGGCAAGGTTCCTTAAGAGAAGTGGTTACCGATGTGACTACTTGCCATTGGCTTAGAAAGTTAGACCAACTAAGTTGTTGACTTGTTGTACTAGATGAGTGATAACGTTATTAGCCGGTTATGTTTGATTAAACTAATTAATCATATTTCTTTTTTATGAACAAAATTAATCACATTTATTCCTATTCATTTTTTCTAAAACATATTTTTGTCATGAGTACGATGTCTTTATTTGTCTAGAACATATTATATCTCGATTCTCAATTTCTCATACATCTATAACTATACAATGTTCTATTAACATGTGAATATTTATTGATAAGATATTATCTCGTATCAAACGTTACAAGGCTTGAACGCTTGATAACAAAACAATTAAAAACATCATTTTGCATAAACTGCAAGTCCACAATTGTTTCGAGATCAGAAATTGATTTCCTCAAAATATATTTTTGATACATCAATATTAATATGGTGATTTACAGATACTATAAGACTACAACTAAATAGTTTAGGAAATGTTATCTGTGTATATAACATCTCTCCGAAACCCTAGTTGTTACCAAACCCACTAAGTGTTTCTACAAACCCCTAAATCGTCACAAATGATCGAAACTAAGACACTAAATTAAAATTACAACCTTCAGATGAAGGTATGATGAGGAAGAATAAATGTCATGATCTTAATAGTTAATATACAATCCATCATGCGTTCTCCAAAATAAATATCTTCGAAACAAAGACTGGAGTTGCTCATCAACCCAGAGAATATCAGTGCCGAAGAACAGTTACGATTGGCACAAACTATATTGGAGAGTGCTTGAGCCGTAGTCAATGACTCAATTGTACATGGTGTAGACGTTGATTTTTTCTT